CCTCTGGGCCTTTTACCTTTCTTTCCATCCAAATATCCTACTTTCCTGCTTCTTGTGTCTGTCTGATTGGCTGGAGGCTGCCTGCCTGCCTGGCTCTGGCATCTCCCTTTTCCTCCCTTGTTCTCCTCCCCCCTTCTTCTCTCCTAGATTCCTCCTTAGATTTCTCCTCCTATTTACTCTCTCTACCCACCAGATCCACCTTGCCTAGTTTTTTTTATTAGATTTTTATTTATCAGCTTTTTATTAGATCAATCAGGTGTCATAGGCAGGCAAAGCAACACATCTTTACAACATTAAACAAATACAGCATAAATAAATGTAACCCATCTTTACATACTTAAACAAATATTCTGCTACTTAAGCAAATACAACACATCTATAAACAGTTAAAGTAATATTCCGCAACAAGGCACAGTGCCCTTCCCAAGATGGAACTGTTTATTTGCTACTTGCATAACAATCATAGATCACCATATCAGGAGACATTGTGATCAGGGTTGTTGTTCTGAATATGTCAACTTGACACATTATAAAATCATTTGAGAGAAGGGAACCTCATTTTTAAAACGCCTCCATAAGATCAGGCTGTTTCTGCCATTGGGCAAGGAAGGAAGTGAGCAGGACAGGAAGAGACAGATGTGAAGCATAATGTCCCTTTCAGAGATTATGTGGTGTCACATAAACAGTGGGACCTCGAAGCCTGGCTGTGGGTCATGGTTGCAGCAATAAGACCTACTTTGAATCCAACCTCATATTGTAGTCATCAAGTGACCTTCTCAAGATCAAACCCTTCTTGGATTTTATTTCCTTGTTTATAAACAAGGACCAGTCCCTCCTTCCTTGATAACTGGGGGTATGTTCACTATTTAACAGATAGGTGTATTTTCAAACTATGGTCAATTTATCACTTCACAAGAAGGATCTGGACTGATAAATGTGTTGCTAGGTGATTTTCCAGGGTGCAAGTGTTCTCAAGTGTACTCATACAAACAAAGGCAACTGTGAAATACCTGGTGATAGAATCTATAGATTTATCACATGGTCCATCACTGACTGAAGCACTGTTATATTGCTCATAACTACATGTAAGTCATTTCCTAGACCTGTTTATAGACATTCAGAGCATTGGTTCGTGCACTTATGAATCTTTTCATTCATTCAATACATATATTGAAACTTCTTGACAATATAGTAGGTTATGTTGGATTGGGGAGTGAAGTCATTCCAAGGACGTAGACATTGCCATGTTCTTCTACAGCTTACAATTTGGAAGAAAAAACAAAGAGATACTCAGTAGTGCTTCTAACTCAGCAGGAAGAAATGATGTAGCATGTAGTCACTGACCTCCATATATTTTCCTTTCTATTTTATTCCAGCAGTACCAGAAATAGCCTCTATATCAGAACATAGCTCTTAATTTTGAACCCATGAAGGAAGTTAATGTTAAAAAACAAAGCAGAACAGAATACCAGAGAGACCCAGATTTTCATCCCATGACTCTAAATTGGCACTTGGAGGAATGAGGAGTTGAGAAGTCATCTTCTCCCTTGCCCTATCTTCAGGCACTGGTTTCCTGGACCAGAAAAGAGTCTGCAGCACTATCCCTGTTCTTATAGCCAGCTCGGACACAGCAGAACATACCAGGAGTCAGTTAGAAATGACGTACTTCCTAGCTTTGCACGGTCACACTTTCTACCTGCAATACTATCCTGTGCTCTGACTCACATTTTTGAGTTCTACGAAAGTCTTCAATCTTGAAAAATTCATAGACTAGTGTTAAGACGGTGCTACTCATCTGCAATTTAAAAAATTGTGTCAACCAGCAAGATGTCTCTGAGCATAAAGGTGCACTGAAACCTGAAAACTTAAGTTCAACCCCCAGAACACATGTAAAAGTGGAGAGAGAAAACCAGCTCCACAAAGTTGTCCTCTGACTTCCACATTCATGCTCTAATACACGTACTTCACACACACATACACACTCACACATACACACACACTCACACACACACACACAAATAAATATGAATTCTAAAAAGAAATTTACATTTAAACAAATAAATGAAAATAAAAGAACCACATAATACCAACCTGATTCCAACAATAGAAATCACCTAATTTGAATAAACTTTCCTGGAAATAATTACTTTCTTCAACGTCCCTGCTAAAGCTCAGTTATTGACACTTTAGAATCATGATATAGAAGAGACATCCATGAGTGAAGTATAACATGCTTAGTTTACAAAGAACACAGAGCTCGGAGGGGGAAAGTGACTTTACAAAGGTAATAGAGACAATAGAGGTGGGTCTGGTACCTTGTTGTCTAGCCAGGTCTCGTGGATTTTTAACAAAATGTTTTGCTCTGGAAACATGCAACTACCAGGAGACTGATCGTCACTCAAAGAATTCTTCGAAAGTTAGTCCAAGAAGCACCCATGCAGGTCCAACTCCCTGAAGAGGACTACTGGGGTCACTAGGGATCACGTGCTCTGGCTTCTAAGGCACACTAGGATCCTTGAAAACCACTAGGATCCTGAAGTTGCCTTTGTGTCACCAGTGACTCTACTTTCTTTAACAGTATTCGTCATGGAGTGTAACTGTCAAGATCTCCTAGCTCTAATGTTCCTCTTCCAGGTCTTTCTAATGATTTGTTTCTTGTTTTAATTTATGTGGATGTGTCTGTACACATGTATACCATGTGTGTAGGTTTCACTGACATCAGAAGAGAGTGGTGGAGTCCCTGGAGCTATCTCTCCAGCCCCTTTATTCAGTTTTGAATTTAACTTTTTTGAATCAGAGAGACATTCTGGAAGCAGCACAACTGAAAGGGAGAACCATGAGGCTCAGGACCAGGATTCCACTCTAGGCCCTGTAGAGTATTAGTGTGTGGCCTTAGTGGAGTAGCTGCCTTCTGTGGCTCTTAGTACTATTTCTTGGGAAACAGAGCCCACTTACATTGACTGGATTCAAAAGAGGTATATAATACAAGATTAGAAATGTCTATTTAATAATAATTAAATTATATTATTTTAAATTATATTATTCCTCAGTGTTTACCACAATGCAGGCTCCTTGTCAGGTACAAAAACACAAGCAATTAATGATCTAATAGAATAGAGTCAACACAGAATGTGATATCATTCTGCTTGGAAAGCAATGTGGCTATAGGGGCAAAAGTAAAACAGCTACCCCTACATTTATAGGAAGTGTAAATCTCTCCCATACCGCTTGAAGGAGGTGACATTTAATTTTAGCTCATTTCAGTGATGCTACAATCATCACCATGGCCACTGTCAACCCCGGCCATCATTTCTTCAAGTTCGCTCTGTTCTGAGAGTTCTACTTGGGAATTTACACACAGTAGTTCATAGACACAATCCAGAAGGTCAGGGCTCTTATCCTCATTATACATGTGGTAAAAGAGTTGCTCAAAGAGATATTTAAAGAATAAATTTTACAAAGGTCATAACCTCTTGAACAAGAAAACAAGACAGTCAGTTCTGTGGGGAGACTCATTCTGGGGCCAAGACAATGGACTGGACAGTGACACAAAGATTATTTGGAGTGTGAGCAAACACAATGATTTTGGAAGTTTTTCTGTAGCCCAGCCTATCTTGGAGAGAGTGTGTGCTGTATGAAGACATGGGGGTACCTGGGGAAAGTGCCTCTACTTAAGTCCAAACAGAACTTTGAACAAATATGGAGGAACAATGATGGAGGAAGGTCATTGGTTAAGTAATAAAGAAACTGCTTGGTCTTATAGGTTAAAACATAGGTGGGAGGAGTAAACAGAACAGAATGCTGGGAGGAAGAGGAAGTGAGCTCAGAGGCCATGCTCCCCTCTCCCGGGCAGATGCATGAAGCTCAGACCCAGGATGGACGTAGGCTAGAATCTTTCCCGGTAAGACTGATGCTACACAGATTATTAGAGATGGGTTGATCGGGATATGAGTATTAGCCTGTAAGGGCTAGAGTTAATGGGCCAAGCAGTGTTTAAAAGAATACAGTGTCCGTGTAATTATTTCGAGGCATAAGCTAGCAGGCAGCCAGGGTGCTGGGGACGCAGCCCCGCCACTCTTATTACAACAGAACAAGAGAAGGGCGAGGCAGAGAACAAAGGTCATAATTCCACTTGCCCTGGTGGCATAACTAATGGAGGGTATAGAGAAGGTAGTCTAGGTAGGTACCGTTTTCCAGGGGACACCGGAACAAGGACTGACATAAGCAGGCGAGTGACATAAGCAGTCACTCAGGTCCCCAGAGAAGAAGGATCTGGGCAGAAGAGCTTGGCACTGTCCTTTAGGAAGGAAATGCCTGCTATGTTGGAAGAATATGAAAGGGACAGTAGCTGCTACAAAACAAGCAAGAGGAATGGTGGAAGCAGTGGAGACCAAAAAGGCTAATGAGGTAGATGGCGTGGGGCTTCATAGCCAGTTGTAAAGATTGAAGCTTTTATACTCAAGGCAACAAAGAGCCATAGCAGCAGAGGAGGATATGACTTACATATGAAGAAGATCACCTTGGCCATTGTGTGAAAGATTGGAGTGAAAAGAGACAAGGATGGAAACAAGAATACCACCAAGCTCAAGTGGCATCAGTAGAAGTGAGGAAAACTGTGTGTATGTTTTGGAGACAATAGAGTAGCAATAGGTATGAAACACAAAGGAATAACAGGGACACTCAGGGTCATCAGTGGTTCTGGCCTGAGCATGTCTTTCACCTGCACTCTGTGTTCTGACTGTGTCTGTAGTATCAAAGTGGGATGGAGTCACAGGAGTAGTTTTGAACCTCTTTGTAATTCAGTGTCTTCTTCTCTCATTTTGGAATCATAATAATAGTGATCTTAAGATATTAATAACACTAGATTAATAAATTCTAGTAGATTGCTTAGAACTCCATCTAAATAGCAATAAGTGACTTTCTCCCTTCTAATTGCATTGGGTATTTGGGAAGCTCAGCTCATCCCATCCATACTGACTCTCAGTTTGGCCTTTGCCTAGATGCTCCCTGATGGGCTTTGATCTGAATCGTCACTGGCTGGATCCCTCTCCATGGGCGCATCCCACCCTGCATGGAGTGAAGCAACTCATCATCAAGATGTACAATGATCCAGTGAGTAGCAGGGTGTGCTGGGCAACTGCTGGCTGATGGCTGGACCTAGGAATGGAAAGTTGTATGGGGAAGACCTCCGGCAGATTTAAATTGGGGTTACATGAGCAAAATCTGGAAGATACTAACCACACATGTGTCTAAATTTTATAGGCCCAGTGTCTTCTCCCAGACCTTTCTTTTCCCCACCTCTTATAAATATTGGCTCAGTTGTGGTAGTTTAATAGAAGGAAATACATTGCAGTACATTTGTCACGGCTCCTTGATGATAAGCCAAAGAATCAACTTGATTTAGTACAAGAAAAGATGGAGAATCTCATGCTATCCCATGATATACTTGAAGAGTGTAGGTTGGCCTACTCCACACGTAAGGAACATGGATGCCATGTGTCCCATCTGGTGACTCGCACTTCTTCTACCCTGACTTGCTCTCATTTTCCAGTTCCAGAAACACTGGAGCTGGCTTAGTTTGGAGGATATGTACATCTCTGGGCAATGGGGTGACCCAAGAAACAAGACTGTGTAAAGATGGCACAGTCTTGGGGCCCATGTGGTTGGATTTGGGACTCTGGCGGTGGAGAAGAGGGCCTAACACTCTGGAAGAAAGAAGGGAACCATACAGACAGATCTGCACTATGTTTGCTCGGAGGAGCAAGCTGGTGCAGTAGAAATCAGCGGAGATGACGGGGATTTGTGTTGTAGAGAAGGAGACAGATGAGAGTCATTCCTCTGAAGAGCTATCAGCAAGAGGGCATAGCAGACCTTTGAGCTTGGGAGTGATGGCATGGGTGGGCAGAGGTAGGGTCACAGGAAGTAGAACTTTGCAGCAAGCTCCAGCTGCCTCGGGATGGAGTGTGTGGCCTAGGAGTTTTCCCTTACCGGAAGTGTTCAAGGTGACGTGAAAGCACACTGTCAAGAATGCTGCATAGAGGGGACTCAACTGTTTGAATGACATTCTAGTAAAATTACACACAAGTCCTTCCCAGCTGGGATGGTCGTAATTTTGATGGCCTCTTAAGTGCATATCAAGTGACAGATGGTGGTCGCTAAGGCAGATTTCCACAGTTGGGGTATTTCAGAGGTGCACCAACGTTACCTGTTCTGCTTACTCTGCTGAAGGCGCCAATAACAATGGAACTAATTAGAGAGCAACATAAAACTGTGCTGAAAGACAGATGCATGCATTAGAGCAAAGACCAGTGACCTTGATTTTGAAACTGTCATTTTATTTAAAAATTGGTTTGCTGTGTGTGTGTGCATGCATGTGTGTGTGTGCGCATACATGTGCATGTGCGTGTGTGTGTGTGTGTACGTACATTTTCCACAGCATTCATATGGTGATCAGAGGGCATGTGGTAACTCATTCTCTCCTTCCCTATTTGGGTGTTCGATAAACCAAGTCAGGTCATCAGGCTTGGGAACAAGTGCCTTTATCCACTGAGCCATCTCACTGGCTCAGAAGCCATTTCTTGATTATCAGTGTGAATTCTTCTTTCCTGGGTTCTTTCATAGACCATCTTTTTTTTTTAAACTTTTTTTTTTTAACTTTTTTTCTTTTTTTTTTATTGAGGAAAGAAGAAAAAAAAACATAAACAAAAAACAAGTTTCCACCTCCTCCCAGCCTCCCATTTCCCTCCCCCTCCTCCCACCCTTCTCCCCCTCCCCCCACTCCTCTCCCCATCCCTCTCCAGTCCACAGAGCAGTCCGGGTTCCCTGCCCTGTGGTAAGTTCTGGGTCCTCCCCCCTCCGTCCATATCTAGGAAGGTGAACATCCAAATTGGCTAGGCTCCCACAAAGCCAGCACATTAAGTAGGATCAAAACCCCGTGCCATTGTCCTTGGTGTCTCATCAGCCCTCATTGTTCGCCATGTTCAGAGAGTCCGGTTTTATCCCATGCTTTTTCGGTCACAGTCCAGCTGGCCTTGGTGAGCTCCCCGTAGATCAGCTCCACTGTCTCAGTGGGTGGGTGCACGCCTCGTGGTCCCGACTTCTTTGCTCATGTTCTCCCTCCTTCTGCTCCTCATTGGGACCTTGGGAGCTCAGTCCAGTGCTCCTGTGTGGGTCTCTGTCTCTATCTCTATCCATCACCAGATGAAGATTCTATGATGATATGCAAGATATTCGTCAGTATTGCTCTAGGGTAGGGTCATTTCAGGTTCCCAATCCTCAGCTGCCCAAGGAACTAACTGGGAACCTCATCTTGGGCACTTGGGAGCCCCTCTAGGGTCAAGTCTCTTGCCCACCCTAAAGTGGCTCCCTTAACTAAGAATTGTGGTTCCGTGCTCCCCTATCCACCTTTCCTTTATCCCAATTCTCCTGTTTCCCCAGGTCCCCCCTTCTTCCCTTCTACCTTTTCTCTCCCCATCTCCCCTTACCCCCATCCCACCCCACCCCCAAGATCCCATTTTCTCCCCGGCAATTTGGTCTACTTCCTTTAGCCAAGAGGATAACTATATGTTTTTCCTTGGGTTCACCTTCTTACTTAGCTTCTTTAGGTTCACCTATTGTAGACTCCGTGGCCCTTATTTATGGCTAGAAACCAATTATGAGTGAGTACATCCCATATTCATCTTTTTGGGTCTGGGACACCTCACTCAGGATAGTGTTTCTATTTCCATCCATTTGCATGCAAAATTCGAGAAGTCATTGTTTTTTACCTCAGCGTAGTACTCTAGCGTGTATATATTCCATACTTTCTTCATCCATTCTTCCATTGAAGGGCATCTAGGTTGTTTCCAGGTTCTGGCTATTACAAATAATACTGCTATGAACATAGTTGAACAAATGCTTTTGTCATATGATAGAGCATCTCTTGGGTATATTCCCAAGAGTGGTATTGCTGGGTCCAGGGGTAAGTTGATCCCGAATTTCCTGAGAAACCGAAACACTGACTTCCACAGTGGTTGCACAAGATTGCATTCCCACCAGCAATGGATGAGGGTACCCGTTCCTCCACAGTCTCTCCAGCAAAGGTTATCCTTGGTGTTTTTGACTTTAGCCATTCTGACAGGTGTAAGATGATATCTCAAAGTTGTTTTGATTTGCATTTCCCTGATTGCTAAGGAAGTTGAGCATGACCTTAAGTGTCTTTTAGCCATTTGAACTTCTTCTGTTGAGAATTCTCTGTTCAATTCAGTGCCCCATTTTTAATTGGGTTAATTAGCATTTTAAAGTCTAGTTTCTTGAGCTGTTTATCAGCTGTATAAGTTCTTTGGTGGAGTTTTGGGGGTCGCTTATGTACACTATCATATCATCTGCAAATAACGAAAGTTTAACTTCTTCCTTTCCAATTCGAATCCCCTTGATCCCATTATGTTGTCTTATTGCTATTGCTAGAACTTCAAGCACTATATTGAAGAGGTATGGCGAGAGTGGACAGCCTTGTCGTGTTCCTGAGTTAAGTGGGATGGCTTTGAGTTTCTCTCCGTTTAATTTGATGTTAGCTGTCAGCTTGCTGTATATAGCTTTTATTATATTTAGGTATGACCCTTGTATCCCTAATCTCTCCAAGACTTTTAACATAAATGGATGTTGAATTTTGTCAAATGCTTTTTCAGCATCTAATGAAATGATCATATGGTTTTTTTTCTTTCAGTTTATTTATATGCTGGATTACATTGATAGATTTTCGTATGTTGAACCAGCCCTGCATCTCAGGAATGAAGCCTACTTGATCATAATGGATAATTTTTCGGATGTGTTCTTGGATTCGATTTGCCAGTATTTTGTTGAGGATTTTTGCGTCGATATTCATGAGCGAGATTGGGCTGTAGTTCTCTTTCCTGGTTGAGTCTTCGTGTGGTTTTGGTATCAGAGTAACTGTAGCTTCATGAAAGGAATTTGGTAATGACCCTTCTGTTTCTATATTGTGGAATACATTAAGGAGTATAGGTATTAGGTCTTCTTGGAAGTTCTGGTAGAATTCTGCATTGAAACCATCTGGTCATAGACCATCTTTTGTCAGGGCTTTTGTCACTACACCTTTAGTACGTGACTTCCTTCTCCAGCTCATCCTTGGCACAGTTGAAAGTCAACTGTGTGCATCCAACCCATGTATTACTCCAGGCTGTCCTGTCACTGAACCTTTCATAGAGTAGAGCTGTATGGTATTTTCTCAGGCAGCACCTGTAGTCTGCAGACTTCTCCCCCTGTCCCCGAGCCTCTCTTGTCTTCCTATTGGTTCTTGTCTTCTTAGTAGGGTATCACGCCTTCTCTTGCTGCTGCCTCCTTCTCAGGTAGAATAGCTGGACTGTTAATTTTCCTGATCTGGCTAGTAAAAAACGCTTGACAACTGCTTGTTGGTCTGGATTGGGCTGAACATGACACACTCTACTGTGCCAAGTACAATATTGATGGTAGATGCAAAAATTGTCATTCATAGAAAGGAGGGCATAATAAGGCATGGAAGACAAGATTCTCGGTCAGCATATGCAGCAAAGTGGGATCGCTAAAGAAAGATAAATCCAAAGAATAGAGCTGGTGGGGGAGGAAGTGGATGGGAGAGGGACTAGCTTAGTCAATGCTCTAATGCTCTGAAGAGACACTATAACCGTGGAAATTCTTCTTTAAAAGGCATTTAATTGGTGTTCGTTTACAGTTACAGAGATTTGGTCCATTTTCATCATGGCAGGAAGCATGGTGACACACAGGCAGACACAGTGCTGTAGAAGTAAGACTTCCATATTTGGATCTTCAGGCAACAGGAAGAGAGAGTCACTGGGGCTGGCTTGCGCTTCTGAAACCTCAAAGCCTACCCCAGTAACACACTTCCTCTAACAAGGCCACACCTTCTAATCCTTTCAAATAGTGTTACTCCCTAAGCATTTAAACATATGAATAGGGGCATTCCCATTTAAACCACCACAGAGACCCAAGGAAAGCAACTCAGTGGCCGAAGAGGAAGAGATTAAGCTTGTCAGAGCCGTCATCAATCAGAAGCTATCAACTTGCTCACAAGTGACTAGATATTCATTTGTGTTTCAAAACATTAACTTATGCAAAAC